ACTTAAAGATCTAAATGTAGATAATATTTTATATATTAGTAAAGGCCTGTCTGCACAAACCAGCCTTTGGAGTAAGTCATGATATTAAAGTCTAAAGTCCTGGAAACCTTCCTGCAGAAGAGAGATTAAAGCAAAAAAATATCCTTGTGTATAAGAGAAAAAATGTAAACCTGTGTGCACTAGCCAATAGTAACTTGCTAAGCCCACAGACCCTGGCAAACCCTATAAAAGGTGTGCTAAAGATAGAAATAAACGGTGTTCACTTTTACTTCTCATGACTCATGAATAGCTGGTGGTCTCTCAATATCTAAAAGCAATAATTTTGCTTTACAAGATGAAGCTATGTATTCTAACCTCAACAAGTCAGAAGGTTAGAAGAAAGAACAATGGGCAAAAATAGGTTGAAGTTGCAAACAGGGAAGAGACATGGTGATAGTTTCAGGAAACCAGAACACCAAAGAAAACCAACATTGCTAACAGATTTAAATCAAACATGAGCTGCACTTTACATTTGAGATTGTGGCTTTCCTAAAAGAATAACTGTAATCTCCAATTTTACCAATATATTGAATGCATCTGTCACTTGTTGGTGTCATTTAAAACTGTGAATAAGTCTTCAAATTATTTCCTCCTTCTGCATCAAAGAGAGGGAATGATCAAATTTCCAGGCTCTACCAGAAATGTCTTCTCCAATATGATTCAAACCACTATTGTGATAGGAATACAGACATTTTCAATAGCTACAAAATAATGAATATAGAGTCCAGATGCTTAAACCCAGAAGAAAATAAAAGTCAAAGGGAAGATTAGTAAGGAAGAGTAATTAATCTATATATAATGTGAGTGAGGCAAACAGACAAGAAACCAATTTTTATTTTGTATTAGCATTGAAACGGAACATTTTATTTTCCATCTAAATTTTTGTGCACTTATTTAATAAATAGTTTCTTTCATAGAGAGGTAATAAAATGCTTCATAGATGTATTAGTATGCAGACCATAATCAAATAATTTAAATTCAGCTCTCTGTTCTATATATCATCATACCGTGAACAATAAATGTCTTAGAGTATATGTAGAAAGAAAAAGAGAGCACAAATTCTTCAGAGATTTATTGAACAGGTAAATCTGGGAGACTTGAAGAATAGACTATAAAAACCAAATCTAAAGAGGATACAGTTTTGCAAATACATATGTACAGGTACAAATTCTACTGCAAATTGTCTGTCTGACTTTACATTATGAACCACTTAGTCATTTCAATGAGGGAGGATAAAAATGCAAATATATTGTAGGAATGTTTCTTGAATGCTGACTCCCTGCTTGCATTATTTGGTGATTTAATTGATCTGAAAAGCTTTATTATAGCCTCAAGTGCTGAATAAATGATGATTCACAACTATTCTAATTTTACAAGATTCATATCGGTAATAAAATAATTTTAAGCTTTCAGGTCTTCTTATGTCACATTTGGGAATCCAGTGAGCACATTTACTGATTTGAGGGACAAAAGTAGAAAATCAAGGTTCACTAAATTTCTGAAAATGTTTTGTATTAAAACAAGCAATTAAAGCAATTTGAAAGAAATGTTATCTGAGATTACTGATTAGTTCCTTGATCACAAACCGTTCTCTCCCTACGTGTATTTATCACTGTAAGACTATCATCTGACTTTAAATATGGGCTACAAAGGAGCTTTTTAAGGGACAAAGTACTATATGCAAAAACATCACTGGAATAAAAGTGCAATGTTGACTCCCTGGTTGTGTTCCTATATAATATTTTAATTGTTCTGAAATTTTGATTTATATCCTCAAGTCCTGAACAAATGGAAAACAGGTTAGTGATATTATCTCAAATTCAGCCACTGACAGTAGAATTATCAAAAGATCACTTTTAGTCTAGGTTTTAGAATTTGGGATAAGGCTCTTATCACCTGCTTTAGTTTTGCTACTGTGCTCTGTTTGGGGATGCGTCTAGGAGATTCATTAGAATTCCCTGATGGTCTATCTGGTCAAAGTAAAAAAAATTTAATTCCCTCAAAGAATCAGCTTCACATTTTTTCTGAGAATATTGTAGGCCCAGGACTGTGTCTACTATATCAAGTTATGTCAAATAACTTCCCAGTGATTATGTGTTAAATATAATAGACCTCTTAAGCTTTACTGAAGTTTATATATATATATATATATATATATATGACTTGGCAGAGGGAAGACTATCTTGAAAAATTCTATATGGGCACTTAGACCTTGGCCAGGGAGAGCTAGAATACTTTTCTTCATGGAGTGTGAACTACAACAGCATGTCAGGTCCCTAAAAGTTCCAAACTCCCATCACTCTGAAATCATCATCTGAGTGACGTCACTGTCATCTTGAAACAGAACCTCTTAAATGGCTGCATTCCATAGGTACTTTCACTTGTGGCATAATGTGAGAAAGTTCATCTATGTGATAAGAAATCTATGGGTAACGTGTGATAAGAAACCTAACCCTTGAGAAATTCAACTCACAGCCTAAGGAAAACAATATCAGACAGGTGCTATATCTGGAAGCCAGCTGCACCAGTTGGCAGCATTTTATACCCTCACACACACCAATATCCTCTGGAGTCAATTGCAAACATCTCAGTGACCTCATCTCTGAAACGTGTTAATCATGTAAGCATCCAGACAGTTCCTTCTGCAAACCCACCATCTTATCTTGGGACAAACCACCACCAGAGAAAGCAAGAGGGGGTATGTGGCAGGAGTGGGACAGATGGACAGGAACACAAGACTATAATAGACAACATACAATGGTAACAAATTCAGGCAATGAAGACCTAACTATCTTTCATCCACATCACAGCACATTAGCACATATAAAACTCTTTAATCCACAATAACATAGTAAGATAGAGGTGATTAAAGAGTAATACAAAAGCAAAACTAAAATAAGTTTCGTAAAAACACAGACTGCAGAAGAAGAAAGATGGAAAAATAGAAGGCATCCTTCAAAAATGAGACTTAGAAAATAAATCTTAATAATCTAACTCATTTGTGTAAATGTCTTAAGTGTGTATACAACTGTTTCTATTATATTACAGAAAACTACTGATACAGGATGAAAAATGAGGTTCACTCTTAATAAATTATAAAGGGTTTAATATAAACAAAAAGACAATTAGGAGACAAAGATAATAAAGCAAAGCAAACAAATCATTTTTTTTAAAATAAAAATAAAACAAAGGGTTAAAATGGCCAGGTGCCCTGGCATTCCAGGAACACACCTGATATCTTTGGAACACTCCTTTTATCTCATTCTGCTATGGGCTTTTTAATGCATATTCATACTTTTCCAAGAAGTATTTTGCATGGCTACACCCTGAATCTGCCTTTTTAAAGCATGCGTCTTAAAGATTTTTTTCCCTTTATCACATTTCTTTTTGGGCTGGAGTTCCTTCTTCTGCAGGCAGTCAGTGTTGATAGCAGCCTGGGCCCCATTGTCTTGCCCACTGGGGTTATCTTGCTTTATAGAGACCAGACATAGCCCTAACATTCGAAATTCTTCTACGCCTAAAACTTGCTAGCAAGAGAAAAAAAAAAAGACACAGCAGAAGCATGTAACATATAACATTCATCCTAATACTTGCAAAAAAGCCAATATCACAATTTTAATTCACAACATACAGAATCATAGAATCAAAGAATATCTTGAGTTGGTAGACACCTACAAGGATCATTGAGTCCAGCTCCTGGCCTGGAACAGCACAGCCCTGAGAAACACTACTGAGAACATTGTCCAAAGGTTTCTTGAACTCTATTAGGATGGTGTTGTGACCACAGCCCCAGGATGCCTGTTCCCGTGCCCAAATACCCTAGGGATAGAAAATAAACCCTTTTCTAATATCTGACTTAAATATCCCCTGAAACAATTTCAGGCCATTCTCTCAGGTCTTGCCACTGGTCACCACAGGGCAGAGATCAGTGCCTGGCTCTCCTCTTCCCCCACAAGGAAGTTGCAGACTGCAATGACATCTCCCCTCAGTCTCCTCCAGGTTGGACAGACCAAGTGGCCTCAGCTGCTCCTCATACAGCTTCCACTCTGGACCCTTCATCATTTTTGTAGCATTCCTCTGTAATGGCTTTATATCTTGTGCCCCCAGCGCTCGAGGTGAGGCTGCCCCAGCCCAGAGCAGAGGAGGACAATCCCCTCCCTCGCCCGACTGATGATGCTGGACCTAATGAACCCCAGGACAGAGTTGGCCTTCCTGGCTGCCAGGGCACTTCTAACTCATTTCCAGTTTGCCCCCAGTTCCATCTCTCTGGTGCCACTCTCCAGCCTCTCATTTCCCAGTCTATCTGTACATCCAGAGCTGCCCCATCAGAGGTGCAGAATCTGTCACTTGTCCTTGTTAAATACCACAGAGTCAGTGATTGCCCAGCCCTCTGATTTGTTGAGGGCTCTATGGAGGATCCTCTGTTCTCAAGGGAATTGACAGATTCTGATGCGGGCCAGAGATTTCCAGGACCAGCTCAGATAGGTTTTCTTTTTCTCTCTGGCTGAGCCCAGGAGGGCTACTGTTTTGGCCCTGATTCGGGTTTGGGCTTTCCAGCCCTTCTTTGAACACTCGTCTTTGGGATCAGGCAAAGGAGTGAGGGGAGGACTCTCTTCTGGTTTGCAATTCACAGGTTTATTTTGTAAGGAGAAACTCAGGAGAAAGACAAAGGACGGGGGGTCTGACCATCACCTTTTAAAGGGTTAACGCCTTGGGAGGATGGGAATTGTGAGAACCAGTTAAAAATTAGAGCTGGCGGGCACACAAACTTTCTACAAATAAAATACCAGCAGGTAAAGATAAGCGGTAATGGACATGGGAACACTCTAACTAGTTTCCAAGGATTAGGGGGTTTTCCAAGATGGGAGCCGCGGGGGAGAGGGGGAGAGGCCGAGTTGCCCGAGCCCCTGCTTCTGGGACACAGGGAAGCAGAAACACATGGGCAGAACCGGCAGAGACACTGCGCCGGGGCTGGGGAGATGGGGCCAGAACAGGGCCAAAGTGGGGCCGGAGCCAGCGAACTTGCTGCAAGCTGGGCGGGACTGAGGCCCTGTGTCAGCACGGGGGGAACGCAGTGGTGCCAAGCCTGGCTCAGGTGTCTGTGGAAGCATGGGGCCGGGAGCGGCCTGGCGGGGATGGTAGGCATGGCGGCCTGGCGGGGATGGTAGGCATGGCGGGCATGGCGGGGATGGTAGGCATGGCGGCCTGGCGGGGATGGTAGGCATGGCGGGCATGACGGGCACAGCCATGGCAGCGGGGGAAGCGGGGCGGGGAACCCGTAAAAGCTTCAGCTGCAGCAGCAGAAGTGTGGGCCGCAAGCAGCAGCGGGGCTCAGAAAGGGGAAAAACAAGCACAAAACCCTCTACCTTAGCTAGCAACTGAACTCCTATCGGAACATCTCCCCCCGTCTTTTTCAGAAAGAAGAAGAGGGGTCTGGTTTAACATCTTCAAACTAAGGTGAGGGAGTTTGGGGATCTGAGGAATTTGGGGACTCTACAACATTTATCTGGGGTGAGAGGGATGCTAACTGGGTTGTGGTGGTATGGCACCAATGTTGTAACACAGAAAACATAATCAGAACTATAACAATAATTGCAAAGAACCCCATAACAGTCTGGAGAACAGACAACAGCTATCCAGAAATTCCCCTTCCTGAAAAGATATTAGTGAACCAGTTTTCGGATTCGTGTTTGATATTCCCTATTAACTCTTGCATTTTGTTCAAGGTGGAGTGGACGTTCTCTTGTTTTGAAGTCAAACTGAGACAGCAGAGACCTTCGAATTCTGAACAGTCATGACTATGCAGCAGTAACAGAAAGTCAGTAGTAACCCGATCTTGGAGGGTGGCTCTCCTGGTTATTTCCTCATCTGCTAGGTGGTTGCTGATGGCAGTTGAAGTCAGGTTCGCTTGTTTAACTACCCAGCACCCTAGGTGGCCCAATTCACCTAGAGCTTTGGCTGGAGCTACTCAGGGCAGAAATACTGAGACTGCAACTCTTTTTCCTTTAGCCCAATGAATGATTTCTTCATCACAGTGTTCGTCAAATTCATTAACACTGTGTTTTAGTTTTCAGGTTGAACTCACAATTTTGTTTTGCCAATTTGCAACATGGGTTTTGTTGGGGGTAAACAAGGAAAGCCTCCCGTACAAGGCCCTCCTACCAGGTGAGAGGGCACGCCAGGCCAAGCTCGATCACCACAGATAAGGAACGTGCCCTTCTCAAGTGCCAGGCGACACCCTAAGGGGGTGGAGAGTGCATTAATTTTAACAAAGGACTGGCACCAATGGGCAGCTTGAAACTTTTTTTTTGTGCTGCCAGAAGAACGTGTATCCTTTGGGGTAAAGAGGTTTGAACTCAAAATACACACAATATGTGGCAAGAGATTTCAAACTCTTGTGGTTCTGCTAAGGCTATTGACAGGTCTTGGGTCCATCCTTGCCAAAGGGTAAAAGGGTCAGTAACAGGGGAAATAACTTCAAAAACCTGACCAGTCTGTCTGTTTAGGGTCTCAACTTTGGTATTGGGGGGATGGGAACTAACTTTATAACACAGGGCTTTTATACCGAGTGTGAGTTCATTGAACTTAGCTGGGATCCCCACTAGGCATGTTGACACTGGATTTTCTGCTGCTTCTGTAGACAGATGTTGTCCAGTCTGAGGGTCTCTGCCAGCGCAACCCAGACGTTTTTTCTGGGCTGCAGGACAATCCACGCCTCTGAGGCTGGCATCAGCATGGGGAGGATGAAAGTGATCCACAGAAACTGTCATGCTGGGGATGGTTTCTTCCTAAAATACAGGTAAACAAGGAGTTAATGTAAAAACATTAACTGAATTAATCAATGAACAAATTCAACAGGGGAAAATCAGGATAAAATGGGGAGTCTAGATTTCCTTCTCCACCCAAATATCTGGTTGTTCCTTGAACTTCTGCTACCGAGATATCAGGGGGTCTCGTGGGATGTTTTTCCATGTACGGCTTCACCCACTTCTGTGGGATCCATCGTAAGCCCTGGGGTGTTGATACACAGGCATACCCTCAACCCCATGTCACTAATTTGTAGGGTCCTTCAATTTTACCACTTTCAGGGTCTTGCACCAGCACCAGTGGATGTTCTTGGAACCTGTGGTTGCCATGGGGGGAGAAATGCTTAACCATTGTGGGGGGTTTTGATCCTCCATAGAGCAGTTTAAAAAACTGATGGTGAAGAGGGCTTTGCATAATCTCTCCTGTGGTGTTAGCTTTACCCTGTTTTCCCATTGGTGTTTCAGGACTCGTTTAAGTGACTAGTGTGCCCTCTCGACCATTGCTTGACCTGTTGGAGAGTGTGTGATGCCTGTTTTGTGTCTCACTCCCTGTTCTAGCAGGAATTTCTTAAACACCTTGGAAGTGTATGCTGGTCCATTATCTGTTTTAATCTCTTTTGGGATCCCCAGCACAGAAAAAGCTTGCAACAGGTGTTTGGTTGCATGCACCCCTCTTTCTCCTGCATGGGCTGAGGCAAAGATTGCTCCAGAGAAGGTATCAATGGAGACATGTATGTATTTTACCTGTCCGAATTCAGGGATGTGTGTTACATCAGTTTGCCACACTTAATAGCTTCTGAGTTCTTTCGGGTTTACTCCAGCACCCAGTGATGGTATGGCTGAGTTCTGGCAGTGGGGACACATGGCCACAATGGCTTTGGCCTGATCATGCTTCAGATGAAACTGGCAAATCGGACCAGGCACATTCTGATGAAATGTTTGGTGGCTCAGCTTCGCCTGCTGGAAAAGGTCAGGAAGCCTTGCCAGTTCAGCAGCAGCAGCAGCAGCCAGGGAATCAGCTCTGTGATTCCCCTCCGCAGTGAAGCCTGTGTGTGATCTCATGTGCATAACAAAATATGGATGCTCTTAATGGGCGATGGCATAAATTAATTTTGATCTCAAACAACATCTTGTTTGAGATCTCCTTGAGGACTGCATTTTCTGCTCTGGAAACTACTCCTACATATGCTGAATCAGTAATCAAATTAAATGGTTCTGAAAACCTCTCAAATGCTCCAACCACTGCTGCCAACTCAGCAATCTGAGGGAATCCATCAACATACTCAACATTCGTCTCCCATTGCTGAGTCTGAAGATCCTTTCAGGATCCTTCCATCCACCTTCAGGATGCTCCAGACGCATCAGTAAAAACAGTAAAAGCCTCAAGCGGCTTCTGACTCCTTTTATCTTTCGGCACAAATTTAAATTTGGAATTAAACAATTTGTGAGCAGGAGCGTGGACTGAAATCTGCCCCATGAAATTTTCCAAAGCAATCTGCAGTGTCTCTTGATTCCTCAAGAGATGTTCAAACATTTCCCTGGTCAGCTTTGCTGAGGATATTCCTCAGAAAGGCTGATGGGCAAATGTATGCACAAAAAATCACAACCAGCCAGTTCCCACAATCTCATCCTGGCCTTCCTGTCCAGTTGGGGCATCAATTCTTGTGGCCATGTGATATGCTTGGACCAGTGCTGGCTGAGAAGGACCCACTCCATGATTAAAAGATGGTCCTTCTGGTCCTGGTCCCATCGAAAAATCAACCCATGGCATTACAATAAATTTGAAAGGCAACTTTGTGTGGCACCTATGTGCCTGTCTCTTCTCCATCATGCTGCTTACTTTCCTCAAAGCAGCCCTGGCCTCTGGAGTCAGAATCCTTGGAGCACTCAGCTCTTCTCCCCCTTTCAATAAATTGAAAAGCGGGGCTTGGTCATCAGTAGCAATGCCTAGCCAAGGCCTGACCCAATTCAAAGTCACACATAGGGAGTGCAAATCTGCTAAGGTTTTGGGATCACTATTAAAAGCTAATTTTTTAGGAACAATGGTTCTTGCAGTGATTTCCAGACCCAAGTACTTCCAAGGAGACATCCTTTGCACTTTTTCCTCCTGGAGGGGGAGTCCTGCAGTTCTTAAAACTTGGATCACATGGTCAAGCGTGAATTGCAGTAATTTGTCATGGGGGATGTACATGAGCACATCATCCATATAATGCAGGATGATGACTTCTCCCACTTCGGCACACACAGGGAACAACAGCAAGGCAACATACCACTGGCAGATCGTAGGTGAATTTTTATCCCTCGAGGGAGAGATTTCTAATGAAACCTTCTCATTGGGACTTCCCAGTTGATTGTAGGTAATGAGAAAGCAAACCTAGGGGCATCTGCAGGATCTAGGGGAATTTTGAAAAAGCAATCTTTGATGTCAATTACAGACAATTCCCAATTTTGGGGGAGCATTGCAGGGGAAGGCATTCCTGGTTGAAGAGATCGCATGTCTACAATGACTTTATTAATTTCTCTAAGATTGTGAATGAGCCTCCACTTGTCCTTCCCTGGCTTTTTGATGACAAACACCAGAGAGTTCCAAGGACTAAAACTTTGCTCGATATTTCCTTGAGCTAGTTGCTCTTCCACAAGCTCATTTAGTGCCTTTAACTTCTCTTTACTGAGCTGCCACTGGTGAAATTACTACCCAAATTGGTGAATCAGTGGTCCAATTGAGTTTCTGGGTCTGGCGCTTTTCAGTGACTGCGATAAAAAATCCCAAGGGGTTTTTGGAATTTCAATGCATACTCCCCATTGTGACATGACATCTCTTCCCCACAGAGGAACCTGGAAATCAGTGATGACTAAGTGTACAGATGCCACTTGCTCATCAGATCCCCTAATTTGTATGGCCTCCTTTGATGTTTTGGCCAATTGGACAGCCCCTATGCCCTGGAGGTGGCTCACCATAAGTTGCAGTTACCATTGCGACAGCCATCTCCTTTCAGGGATGACAGTTGTATCTGCCCCTGTGTCTATCACGCCCGTCATTCCCAGGCCTTCACTGCCCTTTTTCAAGTGACATGAAATGATGGGCTTGTTTTCACCCACTACCTGAGCCCAGTAGATTTGAGGTGCAACATCATCTACTGGGATTCCCAATGGAATGGGGATGGCTTGAGCTATGACTTGCTCTTTTGCCAGGTAAAATGGTGGGTTAATCATGCCAGGAGGATGAGTCCATCCAAGTCAGCTGAAAGGGTGACTGAAGAGATCTCAGTCTCTGTGTTTTTCTGTGTCCCAAATGATAAGGAACTTACAGTTCAGGTCTGGGGTAAATTTTTCACTCAGCAAGTCAGCGGAAACAACTGTCCAGTGGTGGGACCTGAACAAATGAATAATGTTAATCAATTTGAGTGGTAATTGAGGTTGCCATTCTTTGTTACTCCTGGTGCTATTTTGGTGGCAGATGTCAATCTGGTGAGAAGTGTCACATTTGGTAGTGTTGTCACATCCAGTTCTCCCTCCCCGTGCGACTCCCACTCCACTTGTATCTTGGCACAGAGCGGGTTTGTGCTGTGGTTTTAGTTTTTTTTTATTTTGAGGTCCCCCTCCCTTTCCCTGTTTCCCTGCCCTTGCTTGTTAGGATATGGCACAAGGCAGAACTTTGCAAAATGTCCTGGCTGTCCACAGCAGTGACAGGTAGGTGGTTCCCTCAGCATAGCTGGTGATGGCAGAGTTGGTACAGCTGTGGCTACAGTCTTTCCCGGGGTTTTCTTGGGGTCCCCCGTCCTTGACACTTGGGGGGTGACCATGTCTGTACACATCTCGATCAGAGCTGTCAAGGTAGGTGGTGGATCCTTTGGCAGCACTCTGATGAATGCTTGGCAGGTTTCATTGGCATTGGCTCGGGCCAACTCCAATAAGCTGGTCTGAATGCAGGGTGGTATTCCTCACTTGTCTTCCAATCTGTGCCTTTAATCTATTTACAGAATCTACAAATCATTCATCAGAAAATTGCTTAATTTGAGCATAAGGAATAGAGGGTTCAGGGAGAGGAACAATGAGAAATGCTTCCTCTGCAGCCTTCCTTATTTCTGCTAAGACTGGCCCTGATAATGTTTGGGCCTGATCTCTGGCTTGACTCCATTCACCTTCTCCACACAAATGGTCCACAGTAATTATATTCCCAATTGCATCCACAGCGTCAGAGCCACTCTGTAACAACTCATTTCAAAGAGCCCTCAACAGTCTTATCCATGCCCTTTCCCATAACAAATATTCTCCTGGAGATAGAAGGCATGAAAACAAGTCTTTTACATCATATGGAACCAATCAGTTGAAGATTGAAAGAGTTGAAGAGAGGGTTGCCTTTAAAAGACCTTTGAAAAATTCACTTTATCTTCCAAACTCTTTTAGGGTTTTACAGAAATCTCTCTTAACTTTAAAAGAAAAAGGGCTCCATTCTGGCAGAATTTCTCCACAACCAGTAAAAGTCACAGCTGCTGTGAATGAAGCAGGCTTTGGTCTCAGCTTCCTGTTTCCCTCCTCCCCCCCTCCTTTCTCCACACTATGGGGACTGAAGGGACTGGCCTGGGAAAGAGCAACTGAGAGAGGGTAAGTGGGGCTGCAGAGAGGATAGGAGGAGTCAGAGGTGGGATAACTTGTAAGGGAGACGCCCCTGGGAGGTGGGGCTGAGGTGGAGGAGGGAGGGTAAAGGGGACCAGGAGAGGCAAGGTCCTTAGGGGGGAAGGGGTTGTGGGGGAGGGGAGAAGGGATTGTGGTAAGAAGCAGTGGGAGTTGGGTGGTTCACTATGTGCTCGCTACCATTTTGTGACCCTTGGGTACCTGGTGGAGCACTGGGGGAGGGGCTAACCATGTGGTCCCCTCCATTTTTTGCACTCCAAGGACTGTTAGGAGGGAAGGGAGGGGGATAATGGGTATAAGAAGGAAGATGGAGCTGCAAAACAAACCATCTTGGAGGTTTGAACTGGGGTAATAGGGATGAATCTCCTG